AGCTCCCAAACATACAGCACAAACATACGGCTGCTTTTTATTAGCTCTGTCAGATTACACGAGGAAGCAATAACCTGCAGCGGGCAAGGTGCAATTTAAATCTCCCTTTTAAACTGCCTAGTCACATTTGTTTAAAGCACAGTCATTTACACTGAGATAAGAACCCACACAAATTATAGGACAAGCTTTAACACTGCAAAAGACCACATTTGAAATTGCACTCAAATTTTCAATACATCAATATTAAAGCTGAGGTACCTGACTTTCTCCCCCATGCATGAAACATTTTGTTTATCTTGAAAATAACAACCAAATGTTAGAAAACATTTTATCATTTGCAGACTTATAAGAACTGCCCTATTTGACGTTTTAAGCTGAGAGCTGAGTGAGGGTGGTCAGAAAGAGTAAATCTAAAGATACAAAATACATGAATGTGGAAACTATAAAACTAACTGTTTGAGAGGCAAGAATATACTGTAGACTGTAAATAATAACGGACGTCACGCCTATCTCCGCTGTTCTAACTAATGTGCCACAACTTCCACGGTCTATGGGCAGTTTCAAAATGGCCGCAGGGGCTGGAAAATGTGAAAAAATGCATTGCATTCGTCAGCCGGCACGAGCCTCATTCATTTGACGAGTGCCTTCAAAAATTCACAGCGACAAAACTAGACTGGTCCAAAAAAATTCACCCCCCTCAGCATTGACACACATGTGGAACGGAGCTTTGAGCCAAGAGCCAACTTTTGGACCATCCTGTAAAGTTTTTGAGAGGTAAGAAGATGCTATACATTAGCATTGGCTAATTCTTATTCCGGGTCCACCCCCATCGGCCCGGTTTGGTATTGCAAGCATGTCAGCGCATGTCATTTTGGCCACTTTTGAGCCGTGACCCGGCCCCACAGGGCAGGAACTAGTTGGATGGACTTGATTACTCGGTGTGATTTTATGTGGTTTAAAAGATATGCATCCCAGCTTTAATTTTTTAGAAAAATAAATCAAAACAACAGCTGTTTTTTGATCAGCTTTGTCATTGTCTCATTTGGCAAGAAAGTGGATTAGGGATGACCAAATGCAGCCATCACTTGCAAATGTGAGTGTTGTTTGGACCATGATACAAACTGACCCCAAAGAGTGAACTGGTGCAGTATTCAGAAACACTGAAAAGTTGGACATATAGACTGGAGCTGTTCTTCCGAAAACATCCCTATACATTTTTATAATCTATTTGACATTGAATTGGTCTTATACAAAATTCATGTCCACTTTCCACATAATAGTGAGAGGTCGGATTCTGATGATCGAATCAAACAGTTTCATGTCCCATTAAAACCTCAAATAATAACAAAGGTTTTGAATCTCACAGTCTGTGTCCCTCTGAATCTCTCAAAGCAAACACATTGGTTTGAAGGGGCAATAATGCAGCCACACATCTTCAGTCTGCCTCGGGGCAACTGTAGTGCATGTGAGTAGAGCGAAAGCGTTAAAAGAATAATAATACCTTGAAACTATTATTTCAGCAACTGTTTCTGAAAATATTCGCAGTTACTTACTGTTAAATGCTGGAACAACACTGAAACATGAATCTCCTTTTGCAGCCATGACAAACATTAGCCTCAGAAAAACTGCCCTTCAAAACTCCCACAACTGTGCAGACAATATTGCCCTCTACAGGAGAGGCATATTAGTCATGCTTCTCTGTGTCCACTGATTTTCACTTAAGGAAAGTTTGATCCAATATGTCGAGTTATGAAGGAAAAGGGTGAATGCTTTCCCTCAAGATCAAACATGGCTCGCTTTCAGGGTCACCCATGTGAGACACAGTAGTCCCTTTGTGCCAAAAAACAGTCAGAAACATTTACTTTTGCACTTAACTATCAATCAATGTGTTGACAAGAGCAATATTTACATTTTAATGACATGGAATCGAATATGTAAACTTAGATCACTAATCACATCATAACTCTTAAGCACTCGATAGAAATTCATCCAGTGTTGGCCTAATTTATCAAGTGTCAGCGAGAAACAAAAGACAATTATAATGAATGAGGTGGTCTGATGAAAGGGTCTGGTCACTGATCCAAATCCTTGATAAGTTTAAGCACGTAAAAAGCAGCGGTCTAATGAGAGTCGTCGCTGCTTACATCCCTGAGTGTTTGTTGGAAATGCCAGAAGAGCAGAAAAGCCAGGTCCCCAGAGCTCCAGCCGCACGGTCACATCACTTGGACCCCATTTTAGCTCACATAGTCTGGGTCAAACCAGCGGGGGGTCCCATGCAGCTTGCACAGATAAATCCTCTTGTTTTGAGTCAGTTTGCAGACTCTCTATCAACCCTCAATGGTTTCTCTCTGTTGTTCAGTATCTTTCATAATCGTCTTTTCATTGATGCTAGGCTTGTTTTGGTCATAAATAATACATTTTGTTCATCCCAACAGAAAGAGACTTCAAAAGTAAAATCCTATCACAACGCGCTGTTCTTTGACTTATTAGAAAAAACATTAGATAACAAAGCATGTTTTCTTTTACATATGTAAGAAATACCCCAAGTTTTAGGCTGAGAGCGGATTGGCTGAGTGAGGGTGGTCCTATTTTTTTCACTTTTAAGTCTGAATAAGGCTGATCTGAAGATGTGATCAAAGAGAAGAACCACGAGAGAACAAAACATGTTTGGCTCCAGTTTGGCTCAAAGAAGCCATCACATTGCTCATTTTTTGTGGTTTGAAAAGGAATTACCCCCAGGTTTAATTAAGCATGAAGACATATTTTATTATTATGTTATTATTTTGTTATGTGCAGCAATAAATCAATCATTTATGTGCTACAATCAACTAAGTGCACTCATGGCTATCTCTTGTTAGCGGTAACCACCACCAGGAGAGCTATACTTTTCTGTTTACTAAAGTAGCTTTGCAAGTTAGTTTGCAGATTTCTATTGTATATTATATGAACTATAGCCTATAAAAAGAGGATGATAAAAGCTATATGGAACTTTGCTGATACACGGTCTGCCCTGTATTTACAGTCTATGGTCTGCCCCCTTCTTGTGTACATTCATTTATTGTTCTCATGTTGACGTATAAACTAATGAACTATAACTGCATTAAAATATAATGTGTGACTGGATTCTGATTTCTGATTTTGCTGAGAAAATATGCCACTTCCACTAAAGAATAGATTTAATTGGAGCCTTCCATCCCTAAGAATGTTGTTGGTATTTTGAGTGTAATGCTATATTGTCAGATCTTCAAGGGAAAATGCAATGAAATCTCCACAAAAAAAAGTTTAGTTTTTAACCATCTGATAGCATTGTTCCTGCATCAAGAATGAACCTGGAATTGTTTTTAGATCCATCCACGCTACTATCAGGAACATGCAGAAGCAGTGGCTCTACTCTAAGCTCCTCCCATGTGACTCCGCCTATCTCTGAGGGAGCACCCAGCCAATCTATGGAGGAAACTTATTTTGACCGCTTTTGACCGCCACGTTCTGATCCTTTCGCTCATTGCCTAAAGCTCATGACCATAGGTGAGGGTGGGAAATAAAGGTTGGTACCAAAAATATTGTTATTATACATTTTACAAGATGAAATATATATAAATAATATATTATATATATATATAATAATATAAATTGTCAGCCCGACATAATGCATAGTGTCTCTTCTGGCATGAAAGGCTATAATGTTTTGTTTTGTAGTTAAGGTTAGGGTTACAACACAGTCTGAGTGTGCGGGCATGTTGAATCTTCTCTCAGTGTTAAAATACATACATGTAATATACACTTTATGTTTTAACTGCATATGAACAAATGCAAATGCACAAACCGTTTAACAGCTATCCACTAAACTACCTTACAAATGAATTTCCCCGTGCAGCTGTGCTTCAGATGTTTTTCATTGCTAATTATTGAAATCAAAGGGGTTCGTAATAGGCTTATCCTCTCTATTCTCCCTTATGTGATTGAAGCAGACCCTCTCATCGCTTCACCTTCTGCAGAAGGACAGAGTGGCCCTCCAACCACTCCTGCATCCACCGTCATGGAGTAAATCACAAACATTTAGCCAAGCCAACAAGCCAAGACCCACTGGGACGACGCACAACCTTAACTTGTCCTAAATCCCATGTCTTACCAGTGTCCTCCTCACTTACAACATCCCATTTTTCTCATGCTGGGAAATTATCAGTTTTTCACCAACTCTGTTCCTGGTTTTACCCGTAGGCATTGACATTTAATCAAAGCCAAATCCCATTGTGCCTATTAACATATCAGGCTGAACGCTGTAAAAAAGCTTGAATACAGGAACCAAGCATGCATCATTACCATAACGTGTCTGTGATGTCTGCTCTGCCTCCTCTTTCTCCTCCGCCCACGTGCAAAAGTGCTTACCTGGCAACCACTAAAGCATCATACATTACACACTGTATATTTGTTAATTATGTATCGGTTTGTTTGGCTGTTTCTCCAGCCGTTCTATTCTATACAGTTGTGCTCGAAAATATGCAAACCAAGCCATAGATTCCATTGTTTTGGCCCCATTTTGTAGATTATGAATTACAACAAAACAACCTTTTGTTTCTGCACTCATCGTTAGTTTTCCCAATGTGGTTTTACTGCAAATGGAAAATGAATTCCTGTAATTGCCCTTTGAGGATCAACAACATACACCTTTACCTTAAACCTATGCCATATACAGTGTTTCAAAAAAACATTATTAAAACAATATTGAGCCACTTTGGGGAGATCTTAAATGTGCAGTTCATGCAAGGTAGCCCAGGAAGAATAGGCATCGTTACCATCAGAGAGGAACCTCAACAAATATCTTTAAAGACTTCAAGCTGTCATCAATGTTAAAGGGGCAAATGAACGCCATTGAGAATCGGGGGATTTAAACTTTTAATCAGGGTAGTTTCTGTGGCAATAAATGGCTTCACACAACCACAAAGAACCACCAAAGAAAGTATAATGCTTGTTGAAGTGGTATCAACCATGTGTCACGTTTTCTACCAGATGAGGACCTCTGCCGCACCACATGTTGGTTTCAGGCTCGATTCTGTCCCATTCCACAAAGCCCACGAGAGGCGAGGCTTGGAGCGCTGAAAGGAGATTCATATCACTTACACACTAACTCTTACACAACACGGTGGTGCAGCAGTGTGTCTTTGTTCCTCACCGCCAGAAAGTCCTGGGTTCCATGTCTGTCTTTTTCAGTTCCCCCGGTTTCATCTACTCTCCTCTCTTGGACCAGGACTGCCCAGTGGTATCAAGTAATCAAGTAAAGGTCAATAACAATACACAAAACACTCAAGCAAAAACCAATAATTGCAGAATATCAAAGTCTAAAGGTCAATGTAGCTTCAATAACACTATTCCTGTTATTACTTTATAATTATTCATTCAGCCCTGGTTTGATTTGAATTCCTCTGGGATAAAAACCAAGGATACTATGTCACAAACAAAACAAAAGAAAGCAAAACATGAAAAATAAAAACATTTTTGCAAAGGTTGTGTATTTTATTTGAGTGTAGGAACAGATGATAGTACAGACATCACTCTTGGAACATGTTTACGCTTCAGTCTCAAGTAAACCTTTTGAAGTCAGCAATAACATAATACTCAATAATATAATATTTCAACTGTGAAGATGTGAATCCACCAAACAAATGCACCTGGACCAGTATTCAAGTAATACTGGTGCTTTCACAACCTCAGAGAACTTGAATAACAACCTCAGAGAGTGTGAATTTTTTGCCTTTGAGTTCCAAGTGAACCAGAGTTTGCACCTTAACTAAACCCGTGGAATTTGCCAACCCAGATCAGAGAATAACAGTTTGAAGAACATTTCAAACACAAGAAATGCAAAATTGATGAAAATAATATCTTTCTCTAAAATGAATAGTTTACATGCAAAAACAGATAAGTGCCGTAAAAACAAATCAGAAAAGTGTACAATTTTCTCTTTACCGAGTAGTTTTTTGAAAAGCCAGATCTATTTTAGTGCCATACAGAGAAAGTTTCACCCCTTCTTGCGCACATTTCTTCAAGTAAACAGAACATGTTGAAGAGTGTAACTAAAGAAATGCAATATTTGGACAAAATTTCCCCACTGTGGGACGAATAAAGGAATTCTTATCTTAAATTTCCAAACGGAGATATCTGTTTTTGCATATGAACTCTTCAAATGTTATGTTTGTAATTAAACTCTGTATAAAAAAAAAAAAAATGTCCTTAATTGGAGGACTCTGAGATCCAGAAAAAAGCAGCAGCAAACAAGGTATGAGAAAAACACTTCTGCTGTTTTGTTTGTAAAATAATTTCTCTGCTAAGTTATCACGTAAGACCAAATTAGCTATTTAAATGTACATATGTTTATAGGCTGCGCAGTGGTTGAAACCATCCACAAACATGCATATAAATATAAACAAGAATGGTGGGAGGGATATTGTGTCCACATTTAGCAGCTGTAATCTGCTTTAGAGCTGATTTGTGTGAATGAAAAATGTGTGGAGACATGTCTGATCCCTAGTTATTTTTAAAACAACCGTCACTTTTCTCTGAATTGTATCAACATAATAACAACACGGATTATGGCATTAACGCACCTGAGCCATCTGCCTTTATAGTCCCATTCCCAAAGTCTAAAATACCTTCTGTCCACACCAATCGTAAACACAACTTGAGTGCTGTCAATGCAGGAGAAAACATGGTAGTGGTAGTCTAAAATTATACTTCCTCCTTATTAGTGACTGATAAAAATATGGTAATGTTATTCATACTTAGACAGGTAATAACCAAAAGGCAAAGTACAAAGTGTGTTGCAAATTAGTCTGAACACAAAGCCCCAGTCGACATTTGCATATTTGCTTTGATGGGGAACAGGGCAGGGGGGGCTGAGATTTGAGCGATGGCGACGCTTTTTAAAAATACATCAATATTACTACAGCCGCTCGTCTTGCATGATATATTGAGTATAAACATTAGGTGATTGAGCGCAGCCCCTGCAGCTGCTAATGGGATATGAATGAAATCATCAAAAAGTCTTCCACCTGCTTGTCCCCATGTCACAATGTCCCACAGTACTGCATTTCTATTTCATTTCTGGGTTTTTTCATAGCTAAAAATAAATCAGTCAAACAGATCAGACTTGATTTGAGCTACTTTTTCCCGTTAGACATCAGAATAACACGGAGACTGCTTCATAAATGAATTAGGGCCAGTAAACATTCTCATTTATACACCAAGTCTCAGTGGTATTGCTGAATGAATTATGCTTTCACGTGCACGCGCACATGGGCCACACCAATATTCTGACTTAAAGGGAAAAAACTATGCCATAAAAAACTAATCGATCAGCTTTCAATGAAGAATTCCAACTTTGTGTTTCCAATTCAGTAATCCTGCAATATCCTATAATTTGAGGTTTTTGGTGGTCTGAAAATCTCTGTTTTCACCTACCTATCCCCCTCTCCCCAATATGCTGGACTAAACTGAAGGGTATAGGGCACCACAGTCACCAAACTAAGTCCTGAAGAGGCAACTTGTTTGGAATAGCGAAATGTTATCCTCTAAGTCTAACTAAGTCCAGCTGTATCTCATTTTTCAAACATCACAGAAACTTACTGTAAAAAAATCCATAATTCTTGCCTTCTGTCACAGCTGAAGCTTTTTTTTTCAAAGATGAACAAGATAACTCCACTCACTCAGCCAATCAGCTCTCCGCCAAAACATTTCACATGGGGCAAACAAGGTGTATTATTTATGAATCAAAAAGTCAGGCACCCGAGCTTTAATAGACCTGCGACGTGCGTCATTTTCAGCAAAAAAGTTGCGTTTCCCTTGTTTTTTTTTTTACTTGGACCAAACCCGTGGGAATATTGGCTATGTAAGTATAAGAGCCAGGTAAATGGACTCAAACCAGCCAGAGCAGAACCAGGACAAGAGCATATATATTCACACAGAATCTAACATTATGGTTGTATACCCCCTCCTCGCACTGGGGGATGGTGTGGTCCAGGAAGCGCGTCTCTCCCGTGCGCTCTCCCCTCTCTCTGCTCTTTTTCTTTTTTTCCTTCTCACTCCGGCGGTGAATAAGCTGAATGGTTCCTCCCTCTCTCCTCTCCTCTCTCCTCTCCTCTTCCTCTTCCTCTTCCTCGGGCGGATGGATCGAGCAGAAGCCGCGGCTGTAGCTGGAGCCCATGCATGAGCCCTGAGTGCGCACAGACACCGGGGCTTCTGCTGCTGCTGCTTCTGCTGCTGCTGCTGCTGATGCTGGATGTCGCATTGGACTTCTACAGCGACACACTCTCACTCATCCACCTGCCTCTCACTTGGATGACCAGGCGGCTGCAGCATGGCTTCTAACTTCAACGATATAGTGAAGCAGGGATACGTGCGCATACGGAGCAAGAAGCTGGGGGTAAGTCCTGCTCCTGCACTTGTCGCTGATGCCTGGGAAGATTTTGGTTTTCCTTTCTATCTGCGTGTGTGTCTGCGTGTGTTTAGTGTGTAACAGGCTGGCGTGCTGTTGTGTGAGCGGTGAACTTTCACTTTGGGATCTGTTTGTTTTGGATCTGTTTGTTTTGGAGCGATGATGGAGTGTGGTTGGTGGACGGGTGATTTACAGAGACGCGCGCCTCTCTGTTATATGGCTATACATATCCCACCACTTATAAACATAGACTGTTATATTTATGTTGACTTATTTGATGGTATTAGCCTGCATCTTTTTATATATTTCTCCCAAACAAAAAGTCTAAACAGTAAAGGCTGTATCAGGTTTCATTATACTACTACCATAGTGGCCTAAATGATATGATTTTGTTATTATAGGATGTTATGATAAGATTTCCAACTATAACGAACTTTCAACTTGCAATATTTTCCACATTTGATGTCATTGTACACTATTAATAATTGCTGATTATTGACTACTTAAATAACCATTAGTTGCAGCCCCAGTTTCATAATGATAAAATGTAGAATATCACAACCATTATAATAACAGTTGACAATTAAAAGCGTGAAAAGTCCTTGTTAGATCATTTATATCATGGGCGAGGCTGAATTGCACATATTTCAGAAGTTCTCCTTGTAAAAGCCAGCTCACAAAATCCAATTCTTATGTAATGCAAGTCTGTCTTAAGATTTAAATATTCAAAAATCTCAGTGGATTACCCAGCTTCATGCATGGGAAAAGAAACGTCTGTTGATATAGTGAAGAAAGAAACATCTGAAATCTTTGAAAGTGCCGTGAATGATACAGTTTGAATGATGTGTTCCGTATTGTGTGAGTCACGGAGCCATCTGCCTTTGTTCATCATACTTCCAGCTCATTAGACTAAGAGAGCAGCTCACTCGCGCCTCTGTGATGAAGTGTGGAGATGGAGGCTAACGATGTCTGCCTTCTCACATCATCACGACAAACTCTGCACCGCTGGATCCCAATTTTGGAGCTATACGGGACCTCATACTTTGATTCAGAAGGAGGGTCGATAGTAATGGCTTAAAAAAACACCAAGACGATTCCAACTCAAGTTCTAAACCAGGACTGAGCAAGTTAAAATCACGCAATATGCAAAATCATGTCTACCAGCTTTTGTTCTCCCTTCTCATGTGCACCCATGTTTGAGGACTATTCTCTAGACCTGTTCTTAACGATTATTTTGATGATAGGTTAGCTGGCCGATTATTATTCTGATTATTTATTTATTTATTTGATAGGGACAAGTGTACACAATGCCACCTCCAACCCAGTAATGGATTAAGGGGAAGAAAATGGATGGGTGGATGGATGGAAGTGTGAAACCCGACATCATTTATAGCCAAGGCTAATTTGCAATGTCCGTCCCTAGAAGGGCTTTTCACACAACCAAAAACTCATTTTACATTGTTACATACACATTCATACATTCATTGATGAGTGCACAACTGTTTTTTTGTGTTTAAAACCAGCCCAGTCCAAGTGCAGTTAGAGAGTTCCAGAATTTTGCCCACTGGACGGAGAAGACCGACTTGGGTGATTTGTTTAGATTGTTTGTATAGAAAAGTCAGTGAATATGGGATTTCTTTTATACATTTGCCCAAAAACAAAGCTCAACAACTTTCAGTCGTCAATCAGATGCGGTAAATCAATGAACTTGGCCTAATATACTCTGAAAGATGCCAGCAGTACAGACACACTGTTTGTCCACAGTAATACATGGACGATTCGGCAGCATTATGAAAGCCTTGTGGTGAAGTTGTAGTAGTAGTAGTAGTAATCTTTATTTATATACCGCCTTTTCACTGCACATCTGAGTCTCAAAGCGGTTTACAATTGTTAATTACGGGCACTTGTCCTCTCACTCCACACAGAGATGGGAGCAGGGTCGCCAGTACAGGAGGCGCATGCCAGAACTATTGGACATATTTTTAGTGGTAGGGGAAACCGGAGTACCCGGAGGAAACCTACGCAGACACAGGGAGAACATGCAAACTCCACTCAGAAAGGCCCTGGTCCGACCGGGATTCAAACCCAGGACCTTCTTGCTGAGAGGCGAGAGTGCTATCCACTCAGCCACCGTGCCGCACTATTTTGTTGGAAAAAAGTATTTGATGGAAAAGATTATATACAACTAAAATTCACAATTTACTCCACAGTTTTCAGACATAATTACAGTCACCCTATCCCACAAGGAGCACTGCAATTATTCACTTGTATTGTATTAACGCAAAAATACGCCATATTTTACTCATTATTGTGCCACGTCTGTGTCCTGTCTCTAGAGGAACCACCTTAATCTTGAACTAAACCAAAAATGATCCAAAATGTAGACGACTGAGCACCTTCAAAAGGAATTACACCTTTTTTCCGAACCCCTCATTAGTACTTGCATCATCAAAAAGAGCACCCCAGGAAAGCATAAAACATTCCAACACAAGCAGTCTGTTGTTAACATGCAAATCAGCAGTTGGCGGCAATTATTTACATCTTGCATATGCGATTAGATTAGAAGCAGTCACAAAGAGATATGCGGGCGCCTGAGTTTGCAAAGCAGGCGAGAATTCATGCTGTGTTGGCTGAGTTTGAGGTATGGATGCCATGTCAGTGCCAGCTTTCCAGTTCTGGTCCTGCTGTTTCCGTGGCGCTGGAGGAGAACGTGTTTGTGTCCTGACCGCCCACTCCCTCAGCCCCCGCGCCCGTTTCATCACGGAACAGACCCGCTGCTCTGGCCTGGCAGGAACCCCACATGTGGCCCATTTATCTGTCCGCAGGAGAGACGCTTATTCTGGGTCACTGTGTGCAACCTCTGCCTGCGAGCGCTGATGGGAATGACCAGTGAGCCGGGCAGCAAATTGGGTTCAATTAGGGCTGGACACAGTTTATTTATTGTGATTAGAGGTGTGTGATATTGACAACAATGAAATCTGAATGTATGATCTTGATAAAAAATAGATCGTTGTTTCGGAAACTCAAAAAAGGTTGAGATTCATAAATATAACTCCTCGTCATATGGGAGATCATTATACAGATTTGATTTGCCTTTCTTGCCTTTACTTGACTCTCTATGTGGAGTTTTTCTGGAGTTTTCTGTGTGGAGTTCTCACAGTTAGGGTGAGTTTCCTGATTGAATCCCGCCACTCTAAACATGCAGCAGTATGAATCTCTTGAGTGCTTGAATGATGAAATGATCAACATAATGTTTCCATTGATGTCATGGCAAATGTGAGAGTCCTGTTAACACATTTTTATAAAACACAATTGACAATATATAAACATATTTGTAAAACACTTAAACAATTGCAATACTGTTGTTGAAGAAATGACTCTCATCGAAGATCATAGACTTTTCATACATTTAAAATAAATACTTAGCTTCACACAGCCTCATTCATTCACTTCATAAAATGCTGTAGCCACTAGCCTCAGCTGACCTGCCCTGCACAGTCACCTGGTGTTCCCAGAGGTCTCTCATCATATTACTTTATGTGTGTATTTTCTGTCTGTAGTGTTCTGTTGTCTGTGGTACACAGTGTACAAGGATGTAGTGTTTTTAACTGCAAATAAACTGAATATGAGACTTCTCCGAAGACGGTTCCGGGAACTGGCTGCCATGAAAATAACAGAAGGTTTGACATAAGTGCTCTTGTTTGCCACCCCTACTTTACTTCTGAATCTTACAGGTTCAGGCTGTTTTATAATTTATATTCTCTCAAACATGAGGCGTCTTTGTCCTCTCAGACTCCTCCGACGAGAGCCGCTCCGCAAGTTTACTTTTTCTTTTCTGTTTCTGTGAAATGGGATGATCGTGTGCGAGAGCGTCTTTGATGTGACCACGTTTCCGATGAAGGGGCAGAGTGCAGAGCCAAACGGCGGGACTCGCGTAGTGTGTGTAGAGTCATTTGTTTTATTGTGAAAATTCAATATTGGAATTTCAAATGTACTGAATACATACTACATTTATTATACGGCTATTCTAATAATGAGTCATGACACATTATCGATAATCAGAGATCTAATGATTCTGATTGTGTCAGAGTAAGATTCTGACACAATCAGAGCAGCTACTGTGTTTAAAAGTAAGGAGTAAAAGTAAAGAGTTAGATACAGATACAGAAACAACAATAAAAACACTTTTCTGAATATATTTCGAGAGTTCTACTACAAACCGAATGTGTCTTTTCCAGTAAAACAACTTTCAGCCAAAGGTTCCATTGTGCATTGTTTGTTTTACTGAGGGACGAATAAAGGTTTTCTTACTTTCTATTAATTAAATCCAAAGTTTTCTATTACAAAACAAAACTCAAGAGTGTGACTAGTACACATAGATTATATCTGTTGCTTAATTTTCTATAGTACTTTTCGTTTACCAATAATCCTGTTTGAGACCAAGGTCAAGAGGTCCCTGGTGGCTTCCTGCTTTCTCCATTTTTAGTGTTTTTAAAGGTCTTCTAAATATCACATATACGGACTTTGCATCACAGTTGACCTTCCAGCACTCCCACCCCCGCTCCCATTGTAGCCAGTGCCATTTAACATTTATTAAACATAATTTTTCATAAGAATGCAGTACAGCTCAATGCTTCTCTCCATCTGATTTTGTGTTAAAAGCGGCTACACTCCGGCAGGCCAGAATCAGCATCCTTCAATATGATTGGTCCATTTCCAAAGTCTATCAAGTGTGAAGGTTGAGGCCACGAGGTCAGCGGAAGGATTCGGGAACTGATCAAATTGACTAATAAGAGCACTTATGTCAAACCTACATTTATTTTCATGGCAGCAAGTTCCCGGTGTAAGTCCCCAGGGAAAGTCTCAGATTGAGTTTATTTTCTGGTTGCGGTTAAAAAATACAATGTTGTACGCAGTGTGCACAACAGAGCACTGAAGACTGAAAAACACATATATTTGGTAAACAACTGTCACTATGATTTAAAAAC